TGCCGGTTCGATTCCCAGTCCAGGCAAATGCCTGGGTTGCAGGCCAGGTTCCCCAGTAGGGGCACTCAAGAGGTAACCACTCGTTATTTCTCTCCCTCTCTTTCTCCTTCCCTTCCCCTCTAAGAAAAAAATAAATAAAGTATTTTTAAAATTATTTGTTTGAATTCAAAAACATTATATGCATATGAGAGGGAGACCTGGAAAGGCAGGGGGGGCAGGGAAAGGAGGGAGGGAGGGGGAGAGAAAACAAAACACACGCAGGATAGAGTGCATATTCTTCTATTTTCTTTCTACTCCAATCGTGTATGACTTTTGCAATTTAAGCAGCAATTAGATACACCGGATAAATGACAGATAGGTATGCAAACAATTTTGTTTTCAGCTTTTCGCCCGAGGAAAAGGAGGCAGGAGCGCCGCCTCGTGGTGACATAGTGAATTGCGTCCTCTAGCGGAGCGCGGGCACCTAGATGCGGGGAGGAGGGAGCTTGCCGGACGGTGCCATCCCCCAGCACCAGGCAGCGTTTGCAAGCAGGGCCCCCTCCACCTCTGCCTGCAACTACTGGCAAGGAGGCTGGGTTTGGAAAGAGCTCTGCAATCTCCCTAAAGAACTGAGTCACAGCAGGACAGAGTATGGGAGCTTTTCTGGCACCGAGAGGCAGGTAGAGGAGGCTGGCCCCAGGGTGCAGTGGGCTCTGCATTCCCCGGGGCAGGTGGCCATTCTCAGCCAAGGCCACAGAGATGCCCAAGGTCGCACAGCTAAAGCCGGCTGGTCCTGGACCCTGCTGCTCCCCCAGCCCAGCAGGTGCACCCCCTCACTGCCCATGGAGCTGCTGAAACACTCCTGTACGCGCCTGAGATGTGTCCTCAGAAGGCGGGGCTCCACACCCTGCCCACTGCCCGCCCTTGGTGGCAGTGGGTCCCGTTTATTCAGCCTTACCAAGGTTCCTGCAGGCCAGCCTTATGCAAGTCAGTTGGTGCCAGTGCCCCACTGAGAGAGAACATTCCTGTCCTGGGAGAGCTGCTGGTCTCGCTCAGATGCAGCTGAGTGTCCATGACGGCACGGCAAGACTGGAATCCAAGGGACAGGGGAACAAAAAAATGCAAAAGGCAGGGGCTTGGACTTGGCCCCCGGGCAGAACACAGAATTTCAGGGGACAGTGAGAGACAGTTAGAGGGTGGGAGGTGGGAGCTAGGGCCCCAGACACCTTTCCAGCCTTATTCTGTGGGTGGCAACTGCCCTTTCCTCTGGAACCCATCCCTTTCTCCCCTCTCTTAGTCCCTTAGTGGGGTTTTGGCAGAAGGGTCAGCCAGCCCTGGCCATTGAGAGACCCAAACCCTGTGGGAAGACCCGGGAGCTAGGCCGTGAGGGCGGAGGGGACAGCACATGCCAATGTCCTGAGGCACAAGTGAATGCGGCCCAGACACTATCCTTTGAGCATCTGGACCCAGCCACGCCCAACACAGAAACTAACCTCGCCAGGTCCTCAAACTGGTTCAGTCAGGTTTCTGCAACCTGTGGCCTCTGGGGGAGGACCCTGGAGGAGCCCTGGAAACCACCGGGTGCCGCTTTGAGGTGGAGACTTCCTAGGCAGAGGGAGGTCACCGAGGCTGTTTGAACAGGGGCACGACCCCTTTCACCCCACTTCTCATTCTTTTCTGGGCTCCTCTCTCTCCAGTGTCCCCTCCTTCCCTGTCCTTCCCTCGGCCTCCACCCACCGCCCAGGCTGGCTGCCTCCCGCTCTCCGCACCTGGCGCTCATCCTTTTCAGCTTTCTTCCCTGCTTTCCTCGTCCAAGGACCTCAGCCTGAGGTCCACGTAGATGCCGCTTCTTTCGTCAGCGCTGCCCACCTCCCACTCCTTTGCACGCTGTGTTTACACCGAAGCAGTTCCACCCCGAACTGTACCTTTCGGGGCGCTCTGTCCCACTGCAGACCAAGAGGCAGCTCCTCTGGCTGCGGTCTGAAGGCCGGGTTCCCGGGACCTAGTAGGCATGCGATAGACAGGTATTAGCTGGGGGGGTCTAGCAGACTGAGTGTCTGTGTCCCCACCCCCATTCATATATTGAAGCCCTACCTCCAGTTTGATGGCATTTGGAGGTGGGGCCTTGGGGCGATTGGGTTTAGCGGGGCTCCTGGAGGGGGGGGGCCCAGGGAGGTTAGTGCCCTTATCAGGGGAGCGAGAGAGGCAGCAGCTCACTCCCTCTGCCACAGGAGTGAGAACCAGCAAGAAGGCACTGTCTGCAAGCCAGGAGGCTTGTCCTCATGAGAAACTGAATCTGCTGGCACCTTGACCTTGGACTTCCCAGGCTCTGGGAGAATAAGTGTGTTTGCATTGCCCAGACTATGGGATTTGGCTGTGGCTGCCAGGGCTAAGACAGGGAGGTGGGCTGGTGGGGAGGGGAAGGAGGAACCTGATATGTGCCAGGTGCCGACAGTAATGGAATGAACTCAGGGCTGAATGAGCGGGCACAGGGTTGCTGGACGGATGAGCCCTTGGGGCAGACTCAGGCACTCCATCTCACTCCGGGGGCTGTGTACTCAGCGTGGGGTGGACCCAGCAGGCAGCTCTGGAGGGCCTGGGAGGGCCAGGGCTGGAGGCCTGGACCCTTCTCTAGCACCACGGCCTGTCTTTGCCTCCAGGCCGGGGTCCTGGTCGAGGAAGGGGATCCCTGAGTTTGTTTCCAAAGGGGGAAGAACCGCTGAACTGTACACGCCCCGGGTCATAGCTTCACGCTAGAAAATACCCCAAAACTTAATGTCCTGATTAGATGAAAGTGAATGCCCACCTGCAGAAAGCAATGGATAAGGTAAACGGTAGACCCATTAACTATGTTCCTGAAAGCCCCAGGAGAATCTAGGAGGCCCTTAACTAAAGCAACATCCACCGAGGAGGCGGTTCACAGCAGCGAGAGGTGGCCCTGTGTGGATAACACAAGGAAACGGACTCCCCGAGTTAAAGGAGAATTTTTTCCCCAGTGTCCTTGAATTACTTTTTAACTTTCCTGCATGATTTCAAACTGTTTTAGTTGACTGTTGGGAATGTGCAACATCCAAAGACTAGTCCAGATGTCTGCACTGGAAACATCTCTCTGGCAAGAGAGCCCCGGGGCTGCGGCGCCAGTGCCCGGGAGCGGCCTGCGGTTCTAAGCCCCGCCCCCGCCCCGCCCCTTGCCTCCGAGACATCACCCAGGCTGGGTGACGTCCAGGCCGGCTCGGACCTCGCCCCAGACCCCCTCTCTCCCAGCCGGACCTCGGACTTGCAGTTCCAGTCCGGGCCTCCTGTCCCCAAACCTGTTTTCTTTAGGAGGGAAACACGATCCCCTTCTCGTCACAGGGCTGGAAGGCCATGCAAATCATCCTAACAGTGCCCGTTTTGTGCGCTCCTGTCTTATGCAAAACTTCCTCCTGAAATAAATTAGGTATCCCGTAAACCGCCGGGGTGGGGGGCCGAGGCGGCGAAGGTGTGGGATGGGGGGTGACTAGGGAATGGGGCTCGGTGCCCAGACGGGGTAGAATGTCCGCCACTGGCCATGCACGCTTCTGCCTGGTGGGCGGGACGCACTGGAGGCCCCCAGCGGACCTCCCCGGGCTCCTCCGTGGCCACCAGATGGCGGCACACGCAGGCCCTGGGACCCGAGCGTGGGCTTGCTGACTTCCCTACCACACCTGACTGTTCCTTCACGCCTTCCAGGGTCACGTCCAGGGAGGCGTGAATTTGACTTTTGTTCTCAAAAGCGACCTCTGCAAGGACAGAAGGGTGTCCGTCCCTAAGAGTGTCTGCAACTGCTCAGTAGCCAAGTGCTTTGTAGGAGAGTTGCCTCCCGGATGGGGGCTGATGAACTGGTGGGAGAAGAAAAGGAGTGGGGAGGAAGGAGGGAAGGAAGGGAAAAGAAAGAAGAATAAGAGAAATCCTTGAGGGTTTACAGGAACTAGTATAAAGGACACATGGACAACAACTAAGGGGGGTGGAAATGGGAGGGAGGTGGGGGACGCTGGGGCGGTGGGCTGGGTTGGGAGTAAAAGACAGAAAACTGTACTTGAACAATGATTAAATAAAAAAGCATATACAAAGAAAAAAAGAAATCCTTGAAAGACGTTCTCGATACAAAATCAGTAAATGTTTCAACTTTAATCTTTTGAATGCAATAGCTGAGCCACCAGTGTCTCTGCCTTCGATGCCATTCAGACCTTCCGGAGAGTGCGGCTCCGGGAGCCCGAGCCAGCCCAGGGTTCGCAGTGAGTGCGGAGCCGGTCCTGGGAGGCTTTGATAAGCAAATACAGCCCCGCTGGATCGCTATTGGCTGTCCCCTCACCGCCAGATTTTGACAAATAATCAGATTGAAAATCAGGGAGGGGAACAGAAGAGGGGGGAAAAAACCAGTGAGAGAGAGAGAAGGGAAAAAAAGGAGAAGTATCTGTTTGTGCAGAGTCACAGAGTTAACCGGGTGGAGCAGTGAGCTTCCCGCCGCGGCACCCGGACGGGACAGGTGAGTGCGGACAGCCACTCGTCCCTGCCTCCGCTCTTCTGTTTGCCGGTCTGGCTTCCAGGCGGGTTCCCTGGTCCCTGCGGCAGTTCTAGACAGTGAGGTGGGCTGCAAATCTCTCCAGTGGGACTCGGCCTTCCGCCCCGAGCCCGGGGAGAGGCGGAGGTGAGGAGCCGCTGTGAGCCGGTGCGGGAGTGCCACCACCCTTTCCAAAACTCAGTCTTAGCTGGCAGGTATCACCTGCCCACACAATGTCACACCCACACCCGGGGGACCCAAGGACCCGGGCAGGGCACAGTGTGGTGTGGCAGGACACAGGTGAGGGCCTGAGTCGGGGTCCCCCATCAGGCACACCCATCCAGCCCCCCAGGGACTGTGAGCCCTTCTCTGTCTATAAGCCAGCCTGGGACGGAGAGACCGCTGAAGGGAGTCCCACAGCCCCCGAGTCCCCGAGTCCCCCGATGCCGAGTGGGGTGCCCTCCCGCCGAGCCGGCTGAGGGGTCGGGGCGGCTGCCCTCTCCGCCTCTCCCTCCTGCTCCAGAAGCAGTCGGACTGCAGATGGGGAACTGGTGCCACAGCCTCTTCTACCTTTTTTGGGAGAAAAAACCAGGTTGGAGTCTGGGCGGCCGGGGTGAGGCGCTTGCTCTGACTACATGGGCTTGCTGGGGGGTGGGCAGTCCACGGGGTCGTGGTGTACAGGTTCCTGTGTGGTTTTTTCCGGGGAACAGCCCATGGCTTCTGTGAGATCTGGGGGCGCAGGGTTAATCGGCGTTCCTGGACACGGGGCTGGCAGAAGCTGACTGAGCTCACCGGGGCCGCCCAGCAGACTGTGATAAGTCGGGGAAGTGGCAGGTCCCCTGTCCTCAGAGCTGGTGCCCAGGGACTCTGCGGATGAGGTGCGGGGAGGAGAGAGGTCCCTTCCAACTCTGATTCATGCTGGTTTCCCCACAGAAAGTTCTTGGAGAGCATCAGAAAGCTACTGGGGTTGGGTGTGATGGATGGAACCGCTCAGAACTGGGCAGTTGTTCCTGGGGGCTTTCGGGAGGGTGGGGTGGTCATGGGGGTGCTTAGTGGAGAACACAAGGACTCCCTACAGCGAGAGCCTGATCAGCTGCGACAGGTCCCTGGGACCCAACCTCTCCCCTCTCCAGGAACAGTGGGGAGCCTCGCTGCTCCCCGCCTCGGTCTAGAGGCAGGCTCTCCGCCACTTGTCTCCGGGAGTCCAGACCAGCGGGGGCTGCCCTGGTCTCCAATTCGGAAATGCTCAGGACATGCCTTATTTGCTCACTTTTGTTCTCACTGAGATAAAACAGACCTAACACGAAACTGGCAGTTTTACTCGGACAGCTCAGAGGCATTAAGTCGCCCCACGTGGTCGTACAGCTGCCGCCACCTGTGCGCAGAGCTGTTTCTGTCTTTGGCGACTGAAACTCTGCTCATTAAACAGTAACTCGCCGCTCCCCTCCCCCCCGCCCTGGCGGACCACCGATCTCCTGCTGGTCTCTGTGCCTTTGCCTCCTGCAGACCCTGCGTGTAAGTAGCCTCCTGGTCTTTGCGCCTCTGACCGGCTCGTTTCGCTCAGCAGCACGTCCTCCAGTTTCGTCCACATTGTAGCAGGTGTCAGGGGCTCCCTCCTTTTTAAGGCTCAATAATATTTGACTGGATGCAGGGGTTGCGTTTATTCATCATCCATTGGCGGGCCCTTGGGCTGCTTCCACCTTTCGGTTGCTGGGAGTGCCCTGCCGTGAACGGGGGTGTGCCGATATCTGTTCGCGTCCCTGCTTTCGGTTCCTTTGGGGGTACACCCGGAAATTAATTCACTCACTTGTTTAAAGAGAGATTTTATTTATTTACTTTTAGAAAGAGGAGACGGGAGGGAGAAAGAGAAGAAGAGGAATATCAATGTGTAAGAGACGCACTGATCAGTTGCCTCTCACACGCCCCTAACTGGGCACCTGGCGCGTAACCCAGGCAGGTGCCCTGACTGGGAATCGAACTGGCGACCTTTCAGTTCGCAGGCCGGCGCTCAGTCCACAGAGCCACACCAACCAGCCGGGGCTGCTTCACTCACTTTTGACCGTGCATTCTCTGAAGGCGGAAACAAACACTTGAGAACCCCTTCCAAATTTTACAAAAATAATGCCTCCTCCCCTGACGTGACCGGGGCCCACTTCCCCCTCCTTCTACCTGGAAAGGGCTTTTGTTTGTTTGTGTTTCTCCCTAAGTCACGCCTTCGGCACGAGGAAGTCCAAAGGGTCCTCTACGGCCGGCTCAGAAACGGCAGTCTTGCCCAACCCTCCCAAAAGGGGAACCTGGGGGATGCGTTTCTCAGACAAGGTGGGTTGGCGCGGGGCTGCCGGCAACGGACAGCGCGTGGGATTTGAGAGCAAGAGGGAAGTGGGGAAACCTTAGTCCAACCGTCCCGATGAGAGACAGGAAAACCAAGCCTCGAGTCGGCGGCTGACGCAGCCCCGCACAAGGTCACACAATCAGACCCAGGAATCCCAGGCCTGCCGCTCCAGCTCCGCCTGGAGGTTGGGGCGCGGGGTCCCCCAACCCCCACTGTGCCGGCTTCCCAAGTTTCCGCTGAGATTCTGACTCAGGGTCAGGACCCTCTATCGGGATTGGGGGTTTTCGAAGAGATGTTAACAGTGAGTCTCTTTCCGGAGTCCGATACCATCGAGGTCTCTGTTTTGTGAAGAAATCTTAGTCTTCTTTCACAATCTCTGCTCTTACCTCCTTCTCAGAACGGGTTCCCGTGAATCAAAACGGCGTAGTTGTCGTTGTTAATTAACTACCATATAGGTGACTGGTTCCTGTTTTTTTTTAACTCAGGTAACAGGGGTCAAAAGGAAGTTCTCTGGGTGCAGCGGCCGCAGGGTGAGCTCATGAACTTGAGAGTGTCATTGTCTGGCCGTCCTGGGCACCTTGGGCCCCAGGCCCGAGGGAAGAGCAGAGCTTCCCACAGGGATTCTCTTCGCTCACCTGCCTCTCACCAAAACTCTTCAAGGCCTGACGTGGGGCTTCTGGGTTCTGGAAAAGGTGCAAAGGTCGGGGGAGTTGGATCGTCCCGGCCTCCAGCCCCAGCCACCGGCCTCTGCCCGCCATCTCCACCCAAGGACGGACGCGCCACTGACGCGAGGCACTGAGCACGGAGCCAGAGGTCAAGTGCTGGCAGGATGGGCACACGGGCCTGACCTGGCCGTGAGGCTCCGGCAGGCCACGCGCTTCTCTCAGCCTCAGTTTACCCCTGGAGCCTGGGAAGACAGTCACTGCTCCCCTCGCCCTGTGGGCGTCGGATTTAGGGACATAACACCGCACCCAGGGGGCTTTAAACGCTGTCCTGTTTTCCTGGTGGCCTGGGGCTGGGTGCCCACGTCCTGCCTGCTCTGCCCTGGGACCAGCTCTCAGCCTCGGTTTCCCTCTGTGAAATGGGGTGATAGCGACTCGGCCCACGGGTCAGGGTTAGCAGAGCGGAGACGAAGCAGGTTGTGGCCTCAAGGAACTACGGCGGAGTTGAAGTGTCGCAGCTTTAATGCCTGGCTTCGGCTCTAGTGGGTTTACTAATGAAACACCACCTAAAAGACAAAATCTTTTGAAAGAGAGATTGACTGTGGCCTTGAGAGGCTCCCCCAGGGCGTAGGGGTCTCCTCTCAAACTGCCCAGGGTCTGCTTCAGTGGGTTCCTTCCTGCAGCCACGAGCTAGAAGGGGGAAGGAAGGGGGCTGCGGGGAGCCCTGGGTGGGTGGAAGGGAGGAGGCAGGAAGAGACTGTCCCCGGGAGATAAGGCCAGCCCGGGCAGCCCTGTGAGGTCAAAATCTAACAGCAGCCTTCAGGTCCCACCCCTTCACTTCAGAGCCCGCGGGCGGCAGAGGGGCCTGGAGTGGGGCCCCGCTCCCTCTGGGCTGACCCCCACCCTCGGAGGGTGCCCCTGAAGGCCAGCACTATGGGACGAGGCGAGGCCGGGCGGCACACAGCCGCGCCACCCTCGCCCAGGCCTCCCTGCGTCCCGGGCACCATGCCTGGCACATCACATGCTTCTCTGTGATAAACAAGGGTCCTTTCCTGCCCCAGCAACCCCAGGAAGCTTGGCCGTGAGGCCATTTAGCAGATCTGCACACTGAGGCATACAGCAAGGAGGGCCCAGTGTGGGCTGGCCCCCGGTCGGGCAGGGGGGCCGTAGCCCACATGCCTGAGGTCCCCAGGGACTCTGGGCACAGCTGGGGGCCCTGGTCTGCCTGGTCAAAGCCATCCCCGGGGTGACGCTCCAGGTCTGCTCTGAAGGCAGAGCCCCGGGCTGCCCTCTCTAATCTCCCTCCCCCAGAGAGCTGCCTGCCGCCCGGGCCTTATCAACCACCTTCGCTGCTGCTCAGAGCAGCGTCCCCCTTTCCCGCGCTTGGCCCTATCTGCCCTGCAGCCCCGGGGCTGGGGGGGGGCTTCTCCTCGAGACCTGGGTGTCCATCGCACAGAAAAGGGAACAGGCCCAGGGAGGTTAAGTGTCCGCCCCAAACTGCATAGCAGTGAACTGGGATTCTAACCCAGGAGCCTCTGACTCCACACCCTGAGTGGAGACCACCCCTCTCTGAGACCCCTGGAGGCCGGGCCGACCAGGATGCAACGCAGCTCCCCAGATGTGAGCCCGCAGGGTATCACCTGTGCAGACCCCCCTCCCCTGCTCCTGGAGCAGCTCAGGCACGCGGGCGGCAGTGGCTGGTCCTGGGGCTTTCCAGAGGTGCGCACGTTCATTTCCTACCCAGGAGCAGGGAGGAGGTTGGGGTTTACAGTTGCCATACGCAGGTGCCACAAACTGGGCTGCTTAAGACAACAGGACCGTATTCTCTCGGGGTCTGTAGTCTGTAAAACCAAAGTCGAGGTGGCGGCAAGGCCAGGCCTCTGCGGGTTCTCGGGGAGCACGTTTCATGCCTCTCTCCTTCAGCTGGCAGCCCCCCGCAATCCGGGGTGCCCATGGGCTCGTAGCCACATCGCCCCAATCTCTGACCCCACCCTCCAGGGCATTCTCCCATGTGTGTCTGTCTGGGTGCCCGAGGTCCCCCACTTCTTACAAGATATTGGACCTCGGGCCCCCCTACAATCCAGTGTGACCTCACCTGAACTCTGCACCTGCAAAGACCCTGTTTCTGAATAAGGTCGCAGTCACAGGTTTCAGGTGGACAGAGTTCAACCCAGGACGGTACATTCCGAATTCAGGAGGTGGCTCTACCACACGGCTGAATGCCGCCGCCCTAAGTGTCCTCCCCTCTCCCCGTGCAGGTGTGAGGGGCCCACGTGGACAATGCCACGCTCCTTCCTGGTGAAGAGCAAGAAGGCTCACACATACCACCAGCCCCGAGGCCAGGACGATGAACCAGTCTGGCCCCCTGCCCTGAGCCTGGGTAAGTGGGAGCACAGGCCGGCCCCCTGCCCCTTGTGATGGGGCTACAGCAGCTCACTGCCCCCCTTCCCGGTCTGGGAGCAGGAGGAACTCAGTCCGCATCAGCCGAATGAATGAATGAATGTCCGGTCTCTCTGGGCCCTGGCGGCAATGAGAGCTCGGGGTGTGGCTGGCCCTCAGTGGCTGCAGACAAGGACATGTGGGTCCTACATGGGGTCCGATCCAGGGCTGAAGTCGGGTGCTCTGAAAAATGGATACCGGTCCGAGAGTTTTCCGGGGGTCTCCTCCTGGTTGCCGGCTGGCTCCCCCATCTGGGCGAGGCCCCTGAGTGTGAGCAGCCAGAGGCAGCTGCGAGCTGGCCTCCCCCTCCTCCCGGGGAGGGTCCTGTCTCCCTCCAGGGGGCTCCCTCCCAGGGCTGCAGCTTGCGGCGCTGATGGTCTTGTCTCCCCACAGCGACCAGGGACCAGGTCCCAAGCAACGACCCCGTCCTCAGCACCCTGTTACCGAACCCCTGCCTGGACTGGACTGACCTCAAACGGGAGCCAGAGCTGGGGCTGGACCAGAGTTTAACCAGGATGGTCTCGGCACCAGGTACCTGGCCCGACACGCCCGGCCATTCCAGCGAGGGCTGGGGAGGGGAGGGGCTCCTGGGAGCAGGGGCCCTTGGAGTCTTGGAGTCAGGAAGGATTGACAAGGACAAAGTCACCTGGACGCTGGGCTCCCGGGCTTCTGCTTGGACCCCTCCTGAGCAGGAGCTCATTCCTGGATGAGGAGCCCAGCGCAGGGGTCAGAGGGAGCAGCTGGGCAGGCTGAGGAAGTGGCATGTGGTGGGGGACACTCTGGGGGGGGCCACACTCTGCCGGGGAGACACAGTGAGAACCCGGCCCCCCCACAGCAAGTGCCTGGGACTCACACACTGAACCAGCCCCAGCTGGAGTGCCCCATGGCGGGAGTGGGCACTCTGCATTTCAGTGAGTCACCACCAGGCCTGTCTCCCTCTCCACAGAAGGCCCTGCTGTGATGCCCCAGCCCCAGGATGGGGACCCGCCCCCCTCCGACTCACCCCCGTTCTACAAGCCCAGTTTCTCCTGGGATGCCCTGGCCTCGTCCTACAGCCACAGCTACCGGCAGGCCCCCTCCACCATGCAGTCGGCCTTCCTGGAGCGCTCCGTCAGCCTGTACGGCAGCCCCCTGGTGCCCAGCGCCGAGCCGCCCTTGGACTTCAGCCTCCGCTACTCCCCGGGCCTGGACACGTACCACTGCATCAAGTGCAACAAGGTGAGCGGCGGGTGGGTTTGCAGGCCCGCTCTGCCTCCGCCCCCAGCACGCTGGCACAGTGGGGCTTCGGAGTGGGGCATCCGGGGCAGCTCGGGTCCCCGGGGGGATCGAGGATCCACAGTGCTGGCCTCGTCGCCGTTCCTTGAGCCCTGGCCGGGTGCCCAGCCCCGTGCCAAGCGCCTGACACGCACGAGCCCAGGGGGAGGTGGATGCAGGGCCGACGTTCAGAAAAGCTGAGTCACTTGCCCAAGAGCACGCAGTGAGCAGACCTCAGAGCCAGGTTCAAAGCTGGCTCCGGCCCACTTCGGTTCTCAGCCACCAGGCCTCCAGAGAGGGCTAGGAGGGGCTTCCGGAGGCCCTCAGGCCCTGCTCTACACACAGGAAACCCAGCCACACTGGGGAAAGGGACCTTCCCAGGATGTATAGCACAGGCCGGCAGAATCAGGGATCCAGGTCTCCTCCTGCAGGCCGCCCATCGCAGCTGCAGTGGGGTGCCGGCGGAGGTGGGGGGCACAGCCCCGGGACCGGCTCTGGCCCCTCCCCACAGCCCCCTGGCCTCACTCGCTGCCCCCGCTCCCACCCCCAGGTCTTTTCCACCCCACACGGGCTCGAGGTGCATGTCCGACGCTCCCACAGCGGGAGCCGGCCCTTCGCCTGTGAGGTCTGCGGCAAGACCTTCGGCCACGCGGTGAGCCTGGAGCAGCACACTCACGTCCACTCCCAGGTGGGCAGCTGGCCGAGCCCAGCACCCCGCTCCCCCCTCCCCCGCGCTGTGCTGCTCCCAGGAAGCCCAGGGGGCCACAGACTGGGGCCCCTCACTACCTGCCTCCCTCACCTGAGTCTCCAGCACCCACCGTTAACATCCCTTCCTCCCCGACGGGCCAGGCCGGAAGAGCCCCTTGGCCCAGGGGGTCCCCGAGCAGCCTGATGTCTGTGAGGCTCAGGAACGGCCCTGTCCCTTGGGGGTCAGGGCAAGTGTCCTCACCGTGGCATCCTGGAGTCAGGGTGCACTGCTCATTCGCCGCACGCAGCCCTGCCTGAGGCGGGACCTGTCTGTTGCATTCCGTTCTGGAAAGGCACCTGCCGCTGACCCGGTGCTAACACCGGAGTCGGGATGAAAGTCTCAGTGGGGAGAAGCGGGAAAGGATCGAGACGGCTTGCATTCCTGAGCTCCCCAATCCTCCCAATGAGCCTTTGAGGTCAGCAGCGTTACTGTTCCAATGTGCAGATGAGGAAACTGAGTCTCAGGGAGGCTGAACAACTTGCTATGGTCACGTACCTGGTAAGAAGCAGAAGCCAGACTCAGGCCTCAACTATTCAGACCCTTACCCAAACCACCGAGCAGCCCACGACCGTCCCCGCCTCAGGAAGCTCACTCTGGGTTCAGGGATGTGAAACGTGAATTCCTGAAAAAACTCCCAGATCAGTCGGTCCACCGGTCAGTCAACAAACATGTATTTTGTTGGGGACGCTGTGGACATTACCAGGAAAAACCCCAGGGGAGGCTCCTCAGGCCCCAAGTCTCAGCCCCTCCTCAGGGGGGAAAGGAACGGGGGGCCCTGGGTCCTGCTCCGCCGGGCCTGTCCTCAAGGCCACCCCAACGGAGTGTCCTGTTCCTCAGGGGATTCCGGCCAGGTCCAGTCCTGCGCCCAGCCTGGCAGCCCTGGGGTGCGAGGCCCCGCCCCCGCCTGACCCCCCGGGGCCTCGTTTCCTCCGGCAGGAGCGCAGCTTCGAGTGCCGCATGTGCGGCAAGGCCTTCAAGCGCTCGTCCACCCTGTCCACCCACCTGCTGATCCACTCGGACACGCGGCCCTACCCCTGCCAGTTCTGCGGCAAGCGCTTCCACCAGAAGTCGGACATGAAGAAGCACACCTACATCCACACAGGTGAGGCCGCCGCCGCCAGCCCCTGTCCTGGCAGAGCCCCCTTGCACCCCCACCTCTCACCGGAACAGGATCCGGCTTTAGGACGGTGGGGTCGACTTACGTGGGGGGTCCCCCTCCACCGGGAGGGCCGGATGCCATGTGTTACTTAAGCTCACCTGATACGTAGAGGAGACACCAGCAGGAGACAGCCAAGGTCGGCAGTGCGGGTCTCCGGGCAGAAGTGAGGCTAGCAGGGGAATTTTTCACTCATTCCTCTCTTCATTCATTCATTCACTCACTCACTCATTCATTCCCCGGCTGCTGCCTGAGAGCCTGTTTTGTGCCAGGAGCTGTGCCAGGTTGACGACCCAGACGGACCAGATGGACCGGTCCCTGCCCTACCCTGGTCCAGTCCAGTGGGGGGGGGGAGGTTCACAGTCAGTGTGGACTGACAGCGAGATAAAGCAAGAACGATTTGGAGGACTTCCACAGGGCATCAGGGCAGTAGGTCCGGCAAGCACGGCCTTGACCCAGTCTCTGCTGCCCCACAGGCGAGAAGCCACACAAGTGCCAGGTGTGTGGGAAGGCCTTCAGCCAGAGCTCCAACCTCATCACCCACAGCCGCAAGCACACGGGCTTCAAGCCCTTCAGCTGCGAGCTCTGCACCAAGGGCTTCCAACGTAAGGTGGACCTTCGGCGGCACCGCGAGAGTCAGCACAACCTCAAGTGAGGCGGCGCCCACGCCCGGCCCTGGCCCACCCCTCCTGAGGTCCCGTGGCCAGGAGGGAGGCCAGCCTCACGCACCCAGATGCCCAGTCTCCTGGAGGCAGCACTTGAAGGGAGTCTTCCAGCTTGTTTTGAGACTCACAAAATGGCTGTGTGACTTTGGACAAATTGCTTTCCCTCTCTGGAACAATAATTCTCCTGCTGTGCAGTGTGGGAGCTGAGCTGAAGGTGTAAAAACTTAGGTGCCTTCCACAGGGCAAAGCCAGGGAGGCCAGAGTAGCCCCACCTGGGCAGGGATGCCCTGAACAGACCAGAGGTGGGACCCACAGAGAAGCTGGAACCCCCCCGGTGCCTTCTGCCCACCATACTGGCATCTGGACCCTGGTTTTAGGGGGCCTATTTTGGGCTGCCGGATGGTCAGATCAGAGCCACCTCCTGCCCCAGGGTGGGTGCTGAGCACCCCTCTGCTTCAGCCAAACCTGCTGGCTGCCCCCCATTTCTGGCCGGCACACGGCTGGCCCCAGTGTGGGGGTCCAGTTTCACCATCAGACCTCAGGGCCGCAGAAGCCGGCAGTTGCTGCTGTCAAATGTCTGCTCCCCTCGACTGCTGTAGATGGAAATAAAGACACAGACTTATTTACATTGGACCAGCCTTTATTAAGCGCCTACTGGGTGCAAGCCAGCATAAGAGGCTTCAGGGAGGAGCGGTGGGGAGCTCTGAGGAGCAGACACAGCCACGCCGTCTCCTGGGACAGGCTGGGAGAGGAGTACCCAGACCAAACGGGTCGGGACTGGACCAGAAGCACTGGACACGGCGTGGCAAGCCCACCCACCCGGCAGGGCCCAGTCAGGGCAGCGGGGGCTGTGCTCGGGGCTTCACACAGCGCAAATCCCTTCTCTCACAGTCCTGGAGGTTCGGAAACCCGCCAGGAGTCCCATGGGGCCGAGCTCAAGGTGTCAGGGGGCAAGTTCCCCCTGGAGGCCCCGGGAACACAGGGTCCGCTGCTGACCTCGGAGGCCGCCAAGTTCTCAGCCTGTGGCCGCTTCCTCCACCCTCCGAGCTGTCCCTGCTTTCCCTCCGGGTCCTTCTGCCTCCCCCTCTCTGTGCCCTCTTGTAAGGACCCCTGTGACCACGTGGGGTCCACTTGGCTAATCCAGGGTCAGCTTCCCACATCCGGGTCCCCACATCGTGGCTGTGGTAGGCTGAGCAGCGGCCCCCAGAGACGCCCCCTGTGTCCTGGCCCTGGGACCTGGCAGTGTCAGCCTGTGTGGCAAAAGGAACTTAGCAGGTGTGACTGAGTGAGGCCTGGTGCCCCCTTGCTGGCTGTGTGACGCTGGGTTGGGTTCCTCCTCGGTGAAACGGTGGGCATGACCATCCGGGGCATGTACGGCCGTGGGCAGGGACCCACACACAGCAAGTACAAGGCCTCCTCCCGCCCCGGAGCGCTGAGCCCGGGCTGGTGGTCTCCGGGGCGGCTCTCCTTTGCTAGCCAGCGTTTCTTTGGGTTCCAGCTCTCAGCACCAAGGCCAGGCCGGGCCCCCCGTGGGGGCCTCTTTAAATCAGTCACATCCAGGTATGGAGCTAGGCCCAGGGTTTCCACACACTGCCTCCAACCTGTGCAAAGAGGTGTCCCTCTCCCGTTTTACAGAGGGGGCAACTGAGGCTCAGAGAGGTCGGCCAGCTTGCTCAAGGTTACATGGCGGGCAAGTGTGGTGCTGGGACCAGGATACCTGATTCCGGGTCTTGGACTTCAGGTCCCCATTCATCTGAGCCCCCAAGGACACCTGCAGGTGCTTCCTCTGGTCCTTGTCTCTGCTGGGGGTCCAAGGCCCCATGGGGAAGGGAGTCCCTGGCCCTGGGGTGGGCTGGGCAGGACCCCTGGCCTATTGCATTCCTGAGGGTCTTCCTGTATACCTGAGCCAGGGTTCCCCTGCACAACCCTGTCCAGAGTGTGGAAGGCAGGGTGGGCGTGGGGCTCAGAATTTGTGTGGGAAGGCAGTCTGGCCCCGTCTGCGGGTCTGGGCCCCTCAGCCGGCTCCCGCCAGTTCACACCCCTCGGGCCTGGCCCCTGAAGTCGGAGGAAGAGGGCCCTCAACGGCCAGCACCCCAGAGCCGACTCTGCCCTGGAGACCGGGATGCCCAGACAGGGAAAGGGACTTGTCCAGAGCCACGCCGTGGGGCCAGGCCTCGAATGGCTCCTGACTGCGGGGTGAGGGGCCTCTAGGTCTGGGGAAGTGTGAGGGGGGGGTGATGGACACACACACACACACACACACACACACACACGGGAGCTGCTTTGCATGTTCCTTGTTTGCTAAACAAAACCACACCGATATCAGGATTTCAGCCACTTCTGCAGCAGGGCGGGGTGTGAGCTGCACAATGAGCCTTTCTTCAGCTGCTGAGGTTCAGGGAGAGCAGGATTTAGCTTGTGGGCCCCTCCACTGAGGGCCCCGAATGGTGCAGGAATGGGTGGGGGTGGGGGAGCACTGCAGCCTCAGAGTGCTGCAGGTTGGAGCCCCACTTGCACTTTGCAGAGAAAGGGGCCAGTGAGGGGACAGGCACGGGGACTCCGTGAGATCTGCTTCTCCCTCTCTCTCCTCTGCCCCTCACCACCGGAGGCAGTCGCCAGGATTGGGGATGGGGCTGCTGGGAGTGCCCCCTGCTCAGTTGCCCTGGCCCCTTCCCCACCCCCAGGAAGGAGGGGCCTCACGTGCACAGCTGTGGCCCCTGGAGGAAGTGCCCAGATGGGCTCGGCAGTGAGAACGGGCCCCCTGACCAAGGCCTGACCCTCTTTCAGGGTCAGGGGACTGCTCGTCACACTGGGATGGGGGGGCCGCACCCAGGAGGAGGGTTGGAGGGGGTTCCCTCAGCCTATTCCTGCTTCTCATGACACTCCCGCCTCCTTCCTGTCTGAATCCACACCGTCAGCATTGCAGTGTGTGAACTGGGGGACAGCGTCCAGCCCCGCAAGAGGACGGACGTGGCTTCCCTTTGCCGCACCAGGGCACCAAGGCCCGGCGTGGGGAAGCAGCGGCCCGAGCAGTACCATCTGTTAGCGCAGAGCCCAAGTTTCCTGACCCCGTGTCTGGTGGCCTTTCCGCCAGGGCACGAATCGGTCCCCATGTGCTCACCCCACACCCTCCACTTGGCCCTAGGAATGCAAGGCAAAGAAATAGTCCCGGGTGAGCACACAGATCGACCGGCTACAGGGCTGGCTCCTGAAGCCCCCGGGTCCTGGGGGGGGACTGGAACCCCCCCAAAACTGGTGCAAGGAGACTGGCTTCAGGAAGGAGGCCGCGGTGACAGAGGCCACGCCGCTGTGGGAAGGACACAGCGTGCTTTGAGGGCTGACACGGAGGGGCCTGGCGCTGCTTCCCGACAGCCTGCGGTCCTGGAAAAAGCACAGCGTGAGTCTGCAGGTGTCCGGAGCAGCAAGCCCGCAGCAAGCCCGTTCCGTGTTGGGAGCAGCGCTTTCCCGGGGCGGGAGCAGGGCTGGGCTTCGCTCTCCGCCGTCTCAAGGAGACTTGAATTTGTGTGCGTGTCTGTCTACCTATCTATCTCTTCACTGAAAAACTGGAGAGAATAGATTTCGCAGAGCCAACGCAATGACACAGGAAGCCGTTCTGACGCCCGACACGTGTGGAGTGGTTGGGAAATCAGTGCGCGCCGCGCGATCCCGTTTCCACCGGCTCACACGTGGGAGGAAGTCCACAGGGTACAGTGCGGCCCATCAAAGTGGCCGGGGCTGTATTTGTTTCTCCTCATTTTTCAGGGCGGATGCTGCACTTCTGTGCAGTGCGCGCACACGATGACTTTATCAGTGGCATTACAAAAGGGCTCCCTCGCGGGATACTTCCCTGCCCCGGCTCTGCCCCTCCACCCCTCCCTGCCTGCCCTTCCGGTTTCCACAGGTGACAGGGCGCGGTGAGCTCCATCGGCAGGTGCCTTCCTCCTTCAAACTGCTGGCTGGCTTGTCCTCAACCCACAACCCCTGAGGCACCTCCCTGCAGACACTGGGTTCAAGCCTTTCTTTGTATCCTCACACTTAGCTAGGGCCCAGCACGTAGAAGTTCCCCCAAAAGTCTAAGATGAACGTACTACCTCTGGGACCTCCTTGGCAGGTGGGGTGGGACCCCAAAGATGGGGCCCCTGGCTTGGGAGCAGTGGGGTGGACACTGGACATGAGCCCTTCCTGGACACCCCACCCTGCCTCTGGCCTTGGTGGGTCCGGGCGCGATTGGGTGCCACCCCGGAGCCAGGCGGAGCCCAGGGCTCAGTGGCTGGGGGCGGGGGTGCAGGCAGGCAGGCAGGAGGGAAATCTGGGGCAGGGGCCGTGCTGAGCAGCGGGGCTCAGGTCTGGTCCGATAAGTTTATCACGCGGTGCCGGCCGCCAACTGTCAGCGCGGAGCAGGCCCGGGGCCGGGCGGCAGGAGGCTCCCTGCCGATAGCGCCTTCCCAGTGTTATCAGGGGCCTGGTGCCCAGCGAGCGGGAGAAGGGGAGCAGGAGAGAGAGACCCTTCCGGCCACTTCTCCCCAGCGAACGAGCCAGGGAGGAAGAGGCCTCCCGAGGTTCCTTAAGGGTGGGGGCCCCCCACTTCCCAGCCACACCAGCACACACAGCTGAGAGTGAGCCCCGTGCGGGCACAGGCTGGAGACACTGCTTCTCCTGGCCCCGACCTTCCGGACCGTGGAATGGGGCCCATGCATCCCAGCTCTTCTGCAGGCCGAAAGAAAAAGTCCCCCTTTCTGGAAGCTTCCACCCCCACAATACATGAGGAAAAGCGTGAGGGAGGGAGTGAGCAAGACTTCCCCACCACTCACCCTGCGCCAGCCTTTTCTCTTCCTGGCCCTGTGGTCTTGGCGTGAGGACTTGCTTCTTGCTTAGGGGACCCCTGAATGTCCTGCCCGGCACTTGTCGCGGCCCCAGGGGACCACCACTGGGGGAGTCGGGGACAGGATCACCCCCGCCTTCTGAATGAGGAAACTGAGTCTCAGTGAGAGTGTAGACGAGGGGCAGACGGAGGAGGACCCAGGGGCCAGAAGTGGAACCACGGAGGAGGATGGACATCATGTCATCTGCAAGTGGGGCTCAAAGCGCAGCCACAGGCAGCCTGACCTCCAGGCGGAGACCACCTGTTGGGGGGAGCCCCAAGTTCTGGAGGGTTATCTTGGGGGCAGGAGGCATTGTGATGGATTTAAAATTTTCCTTTGTCTAGACATTTCCTGAGTTTTCTATGATTTTTATAATAGCCACGTGATTTGCATTTGGTGGGGTGGGGGTAGAGGAAGGGGATTTGTTTGTTTCCAGGCGGAGAGAAGGAGCTCGGGTCCCGGCGGGCGGGGAATGCTCAGCCGGGCCCCCCTGCCCGGGGTCATCTGCAGACCCAGCCTCCGCAGCCCAGTGTGGGCACGAGCAGAGGCTGGGCCTGTGCACAGCGGACAGCGTGTCCCCGGGGCCCTACGGCAGGCCGGGCTCGGGACCCTACCGGAGGCTCGAAGCCCACCCTCGCGGGTCAGGAACCATCATCCATCAACTCACGTGGGTCGAGTGCCCGCCCCAGGCCGGCGCCACGCTGGGTGGTGGGCAGAGGCAGGGTGCTCGGGAAGCAGACAAAACGCCCTCCTTCTTGGAGCGC